TTTTTTTTTTTTGGTCACAAATCGATAAACTTCTGGCTTCATACTTTGAACTTAACCCAGGAACACTGGAACAGAAGGCTGTCCTGAGCTTTATGTGTAGGAGGACATAATGTTGCTTGAGGTTATGCCATAAAAATACCGAAGAGTACAAGCCTAAACATAAGAGAGGAGAAAAATGTAATGAAAATAATGAAATTACAGTGATAAATCAGTACATCGAATATTTAGCTGGTGACTACAACAAAGTGAGTAGTTCTTCTGATGAAGTGATGGATTTAATGCCGTCAGATTGCTTATTTGCTGGTCTTGTACATATCTTCAATGACATTCTGCAGTTCGACATTCATCAAAAGTCAGCCATAGACATTTTGCTACAATTATACCAAATATTTCTAGTATCCCACAAGACGGAGATTTTGGATTCGATTATTGTTATCTATTTATGAAAAAATTGTACATGTTAGACATTTGAAGAAAAAGGATTTTGTTTTGGAAACGAACTAGTGTTGTGAAGATCAAATTAAATAAATAAATGTGTTCTCTGTGTAACAATTTAATCTTTTCGATGAAGTGGTGTAACACTAACCTTGTAATATTTGAAAAATTGGGCTCTCTTCTTCTTGTACGTCGGTGTCAAAAGATCACGTTCCATGTCAAATGGTATCGGGTCAAGGTGGACATCTTTGACAAACTCAAATCCCTTCAACTGTTAACAGAATCGATAACTTGGTCATCATTCAAATTTCAGGTCATTATTGGTATTAGAAAAATTGAACCCAATCCTTGTTTTTGTCTCTATACTATTTCTCTTATCGATCGGGTTCGCTTTAACAATTATATACGATGTGCCATGCAATAATATGGGAAAAAATTTGTACACCGAAAGAACTTATTAGAAACCGGATGCAAACCTTCTTTTCTTTTCCGATCTTGTTCAGTTCTCCAAGAATATATGCTTTTGCTTTTGGATTTTCACATAAGCTATTGAAATCTCCTGCAATTCCATTAGCTTCAGCCCAATGTTCAAGAGCTTCCACACTTGGGTTGACAACAGCAACAAGAAATGACTCATAACTATTGCCATAGACCCAAATCTGAGACAAATGGGCAGAAGAATTCCTTATGATATTGATATGAAAGTGGAAACAAGTAGCAATAAAACAACGAAAACCAAAAGCTAAGCTGCTTTCTCAATAAATTTGAAAACGGCTACATCAGCTAAATTTAATCAAACTTGTAAGAATAAAAATCAGATGGAAGCCACATTTCACCAATATTATTTCCAAGGTATTTCGAGTTGTTCCGAAGGAGAAAAGTAACACACCGCATCAATATTATATGCAAGAGAGTAAATGCTCTCTAGATTCTCAACGGATATGTATTCTCCTTGGGAAAGCTTGAAAATGTTTTTCTTGCGATCAATTATCTTCAAACTCCCATCGGATTGCCATTCACCAACATCCCCTGTTGCAAGTCTTGAGTGAGCAATGAAACAAGTGAAGAGAACGATGGATTGAGAGAAAGCAAATTAGACTAACCTTAAAAGTGTACTTTTATGTAAAAAAAAGAAAAATTTTGATCAAAGAAAATGAAAATAAGCAAGCCAAGAGTTACTTTCAGACTAGCATTCTATCGAAATAAATAAGCTAAGAGTTACCAGTATGGAACCATCCATCAACAAGAACCTCTTTGGTGAGATCTTCCCGCTTGTAGTATCCTGTGAACAAGCACTTCCCCCTAATACATATTTCTCCGCGAGGAGTACTTGCAACGGCATCGTACCCCATTTCAGGAACCGATTCCAGGCACACGTCTACAACTGGCAATGGCTGGCCAACTGTACCAACCATGGACATTTCATCTGGTCGTGCTACAAATGATCCAGCACAGGTTTCCGTTAGACCTACAAAGCAAAGTCGAAAATTATCATTTCAATTTTTAGAATGCCATAAGTGAACCAGTTGTTGCTCCATTGAATAGATGATATGGTAGAGAGTAATAGTAAGCTTTGTCACTGACATCAGCAACTGATGAAGACTGAAACGACTTAAATTTGAGAGATATAGTACGTACCATATCCTTGAAGAACATGAGCACATGTCACAACCCGTAAAAATGTTTCCACATTGGACGAAAGAGGTGCTGCTCCAGAAAGGAAAAGACGTAATTTCCCTCCTAGACCTTCTTTCACCTTTATAATTATAAATAAAAAGGTCATAAATTCAGTAGAGGGCTTCTTGATATAATCGTTCAAAAGTTTACAGAAGAGAAAAGAACAATAAGAACAGATGGAACCAGATCTTCTTCAGTACCTTGCTAAAAACAATCTTGTCGAATACTGGAGCTGCTTCCACATGCTTATAGCCTTTACTCATGTTTCGCAATTTGCTGCAAATTTGGAAGCTTTTGGTGAATACAGACTGAGAAATGCACGCTTGCAGTGATAAGGTGCATTCTTTATCATTGTCCTAAACTATTTTTGGTAATAAGATAGTTTTAAAGACAAGGTACATTTTAAATACGGGGAAGAAAGCACTTACTAGGAATAAGCAAGGTTGAACAGTGCATGTTTGATGACCCCTGACGAAGAAATCTTTTCTACTAAACCTGAAAATTTCAGAAGTTACAAAATTGAGCTCATAATTCATATACCATATCCACCCTAATAATACTGTTTTAGACATAAACTTGTGAAGATCCTAGACATCTTTTGTCCCTCTTCTGTTTCTGTGCGTGGAATTTGTTTTACTTAGTGTGTGTCGGGGTGGGGGCTTGATGTTTTCATGAAATCTCTGAAAAGCTAATGCATAAAAAATTAACGTAGAACCTGAATATATTCTGTCCAACACACGAGGAACAGCACACAGTACAGTTGGTTTTAACTCTTTGATGTCGTCAATCAACTGTTTAATGTCCTGAAGATTCAATTTTAAACATCATGTTGGATTGTCTATTGGTATGTAAATATTATTAAGCAACTACAGTAAATTTTATTCACTTACCTTATGCCAAAATCCGATTGAGGCACCTTTAGAGATAAAGAGTTCCTCGATGACTCGATCAAATATATGAGCTAAAGGGAGATAGGACAAATATACATCCGTCTCACTAAACTGTCAATGATAATACAATACAATTTTCAAACTAATCGTCACCAACCAGATGCAAGAATATTTAAGAGAAAAATGTCTATTTCACCTCTTCGTTTATGCTCTCTAGATGGTGATTCACTCCAGAAACGATAGAAAGGACACTCTCATTGGAAATCATTACTCCTTTTGGATCACCTGTCGTTCCACTTGTGTACATTATTGTGCAGATATCTGTCTTCTTCTTTGTTGGAATATCAACTTGCTTGTTCAATCCCTGTAGGAAAATATGGACATTTAAAGGAGATATCAGAGTTGGACGAATAACTAATGTTAATAGATAGTGTCCCTGTCACTGGATGTTAATTTACTTGCATTGCAGATCATCGTCAATATTGCCCATGTTTGGCTAATGTTTATAAACTGTTTATAATAGGTCAAAACCACTTTTTATCCACACATATCCCCCTAGATGGATCCAGAAATCAGATAATAAAAGGTAAAATGAACTCCATTGAACATGTTTTCCATTTAAGTGGGCAAACAACTTCAAGATAATGCTAGTATTTATAAGTAGCTTACCAGAAGCAAAAAGTCATTCCAAGAATATATTTTGGCACCAAAATTTCCAGCCACTTCCTTCTGTTCGAAAGTAACCTTTCCAAAGCTTACAAGAGCTGTATATATAACAGAGGATAACCTTAGAAACTTAACTGAATCTTCATATGAATTTACATAAGAACACGGCTATGTGCTCTTACTTTTCAAGTATTTTTTGGCGTTAGGAAATGTTTTCAACACCTATGGCAATAAAAAGTTACAAAGTCAGCCGAAAAGGTAAAATGGGAATGTGGGCGCATTGGAAGGTAAGTGTGAGAAAAAAAAA